GTTGGGTAGATCTAAGGGTGTCACATGTTTGACACATTCAAGATAGCTCGTCTTCAAATTTTTTAATTTCAGTGAAAAAATCCCACCTGTTTCGTATTTCTCGTTCTCAGTCATCAGCGCTTCGTAGCGACTCGTTATTTCTCCGAGTTTCTTCTGCGTTACCTCATGTTTTTTTTGCTCTTGTTTCAAAGCTGCTTTAACTTGATCAGCTTCGTTTCTTCTCTTCGCACTACTCGCTCTTTCTACTGTCAGTTCTTCCGACATCATTTCCACCTCTGATAAGGAGATAAGCAAGGTTATTTAAAATGGATACAATTTACTCATACCCTAAATTTTGTTTGTCATAAGGAAAGACGGGACCATTCGACACGTACGAGCGTGATACAAAGAAAAACTCTGACCCAGTCGAAGACTAGTCGAGAATTTGAGCATCGGACTTTTTCATGTGTTTTGTTACGTTATCTCACAAATAGGTTAGTTACATAAAAAATATATAAAGGGCGATATGGTGCACTCGTTTGGCCACTGTATCGAACGGAAGCTGAAAAAAGTTGGAGGAAGTTTGATTTCCAGCAAACATCCTCCTTATGGCTCAACATTACTCTTTCTTTTAAGGGTATGGCTACCAATTTCATCATTTCGGATGCATGAATGTTTACTAACTTATAATACACTAAATTATATGGGCATTTTGACTGGTTTTAACATAAGTTATGTTCTATCAGAAGACGTCACCATTAAAAACATTTTGCCTCTTTATCCCGGTATAAAAAGAAAAATTCCATGACGATGATAAATTTTAATCTTGGTAATTAAAGCGAAGGAAGATGTTTTTCAATAAATGACCGGCACAGGTATGCTCGGAGAGAGAGAACCCGCAGTAGGAGTCCAACCTACGGCCTCCCGATTGGCTCATCGGACCCTCTACCACTGAGCCATAGGTGACGCGTGGTAGGCTAGGCCGTTTAACAAGGTCCTTGCTGACAAACTTCTTGCACACTGCCACTCAGAATGTCGTAGCTATGGGTTTTGCACCACGCTTAATAGCACTCGGAGTCCTTTTTCAGAATTACATCTTCCTTCAAATAGATCCCATGTTGATGTGTGTCTGTTCAGCGGTAGACCAAAGAAGACCTCCAAATGTAGTAAGAATATTAATGGCGCACTCGGCTGCGTCTTGTCTGCCCATTTGTTGTTCTTAACACATTTAGACGTTATCTGTAATCTCTTACTGAACGGACGCATGGCAAATAGAACCATGGTCACGATTTGTTGTACTTTATGCTTACCATATTTCCGATCTACCTTTTGTTCACGTTTGAACTCATTATTTACCTTTGCTTGATATTTTGTCAATGGTTGATATTTTGTCAAACTCACACTGTGCTAATCATCGTAAAGATAATGTCCATCCAAAGTTTGAACGGAGACAACATACTCCTCCCCAGTAAGTACTTATTTTACAATAGTATAAGGCTACCGTAACATTTCTACCTGCATCTCGCAAAGTTGTAGCCAAGTGTGCCTGTGTTTCTTGCAGAGCTTTCACAAAGATGCCAAAAGCTTTTGGCCCTTTTCGGGGAAGCTGTTCTAGTAGCTTGTCTACGCAATCCTCTCTTAGGGATATCGCTTTCAACTCTTCGATGTCTGAGTAGTTCAATACTTCTGTTAAATAAGGATATAGTTTCTTTGGTTCCAAGTCTTTTCTGAGCTTTTTCCAACACGTGAGCAATATTTTCCGATGTCTGTCATCCATTTCTTTTCAGACTCACAAATTTCCTCTGTAAACAAAATGCCATATGCTTAAGGGTAATTTTTTTCTTGTCATCACCCTTTCTTTCCAAAAGCGAAACAGTATTTCCACTTCTTAATAAACAGAGAAGCATTGACCGTTCTCTGTTCTGTTGTAAAGCACGCAGGAAGCGGTTAGAAAGGGATGGTTGGGAGAAACACGAGACGTAGTAGATTCAGGCACGGTATTTTATTAGGAGAGTTAGGCATTTGTCCCGAGATACCTAGAGCTGGCCCGTTAAAAAGCTGAGTATTCAGAGTTTGTATAAGACCTCTAGAAAAAGGCTTTGGCCCCGGCAGCCTCGTTCATGATCGAGCAGTTCCCTTAAAAGATCTTATATTTTGTTAATGTCACGCCATCCCAATTTTAGATTCTTCACAGGAAAACGGATCTATATTCATAAATCTCGTGTCGAGCCATCCTAAATTGGTTGAGACTCGGTATTTCTCGTCTTCTTAAGATACCTGTTGAGTTCACAACCTATAACCCAACTCAAAGTAAAGCCCGATGAACGATAATTTTGAGGAAGGGATTGATAAAGAAAACGAGTCGGAAATAGCGGCTAACGCAATTAAACTGTTTAACGGAACAAATTCAGACCACATGTTCTATGATAAGAATAACGATTTTTATGATGAGTGTAGTATGTCAAGTTGATATAATCCTCGACAGAGAAGACCAAAATATTAAGGAAACTATCTTATTTTTTTCTCAGTTCGTGAGCGGCCAAGACCTCGGGCACAGTGTTTCCCAATACGGACCTATCGTCTGCTGAATAACATACATACGGAATATTTGACTTCAAGTGTACCCTTAAAATCATGTTGTATTATTTTCTGTGAGTCGTAAAAATTGAATTTTGATTGCTGGGATTCTTTAAAAAAACATTTGTGAGATCAAGTGTTTGAGTAGCGTGAATATGCTGGACGAAGTAGCCTTTTCAGTCCTATGCCAAGAGACGTGCTTCATAAAAAGCAAATTTCGCGGCCCCTCTAAAGGTCATAACGGTATTATTGCACAAGGTTTCTAAAAAGATAATTCGTACAACGTGAGGCCTTTTAACAAGGGCCTAACATACTGAAAGCGTAAGCTACATTCAAGATGGACGAGTTAACCACCTACTTTGCACTGATTCTTTCAGCAAGAAGTTTAAGAAGATTCGTCTTTGAATCAAACCCGACGAGTGCTAATTTTCTTCCTGAAATGCGCAGTCGTCTTAACTTCAATGTTCCAATCTGGAGCAATTTGTGTACAATAACGTAGCTTTGAATAATCCTTATCACTGATGAGTGTTCATTGATGCAACAGAGCACTTAGATCGCTCAGAAAAAGGTCGATAATTCGCCATAATTCTCCAGAAAAGACGGTCACTACATTATGATGTAACGCTAGCTCTCAGGTGTGTAGTTACAGCGTCCCTATCAGCCATTTTTACCAACCAATCAAACACTAGAATACCCCTTTGACCTGATGTTTTGGCTGCTGATATATCAACTTTATTGACAGGCTGATTTGAGAGTTATCACATTGTTAAAAGTTGCTCCCAATGTACCGCAGAATTTTGAACTTTGATCGGGCAGCTCATTGCGCATACGCGTAAAAAGATTGACCGGCCGTCTTCCCTCAATTGGTTTTGACTCTTCAAAATGCCATTCAATTGCGTTAATCCTTTCAGTTCTTCATTCTTTTCACCGGATTCTGTACGCTTTTTTGTAAGTTATTGGGGAGAAATTTGTATTTAATCAAGTTATATCCCGAAAGGATGACAGTTAATTCAGCTGTGTCGTGAACTGTCTCCTTGACAAAGTGCATTTGTTGCAAAAGGAAAGAATATACCGTAATCTGTCCCTCAAATAGGAGTGAAGAAGACAACATCTGTTTCTGAATGATACATGGCAGTGATTTTCTCTCGATGATAGCTTTACCTGTTCAGTCGACTGTCATTCGTGACTACAGAAATGCAGATACTCTTCAAAGGTTAGGAATCAGTTTTAGAGCTCACTCATCCATTTTAGTCGCCGGATAAAGATGTAAAGTGATCGGAGTAGTGACCTCACGCCATGAGGCAGATCACATTGCTACGAAAGAAAATATTTTGCCTGCTATCGTAACAGCGAGTTTTGTTAGCACTCCAGGTGGCATTGGTAAAGGCGCAAGTGTACCCGAGATGAGGTGAGTTACGAACTCTACGATAAAAACAAATTGTCGCAGAATATCTTCTAATAAAGATGCTTGAATAATGGACAACCGCTTGTTATGTTGCGGAGACGGTCGACCTAGTGCCCTGAATCAGTCATAACGAATTAATGTGGAATAAACGAATACCTCCACTCTCCAAAGCTACTAGGATACGTCGTCGACGGTCATGATCTGCGCTAGTAAAAGGTTCGGATACGAAGGTTTAAGTAGCATCTTAGATTTGGTATCAGAAGATGATTATTAACCCATGGGAACCTTCGACTTACAAAATAGGAAAGTATAGGCGCTTGAGATAAAACAATAACACCAAACTTCTTGAGTCAAATGAGTTTTTAAGGATTAAAGAAATCTTTCTCCCCTTTTTCATCTATTTCATTTCTCGACCGGCTATCCAGTTCTGCGAATGTATTTCTATACAAAATGTATTTCTATACAAAATTAATAAAGTGAATGCTTGTTTTGTTGTCATAAAAACATAGCAACTATGTAGTAACCTTAGACGAAATATGCGGCAATAGGGGAGACCTCATCAAAGAACCTCTGTTATTAGATCAAAAAGTTTAATTTTTCTAAATCTAGGACACTTTTATCAGAACAAGACTTTCGACGACGAAACAAAAGGTTGTCACTGAAGTCAGTGTGTTGTAGGAGGATGTAGCAACGTGCGAAATTTGCAAGAGGGTATCGCGCTTCATACATTCCTCATACAACACACCTATTCGGCATATTTCGGACAATATCGACAACCTTCCCAAACAAGTGAAAATGTGTGAAATGCAGACTATCGTGTTCTCGATTTGAAGTCACATTACCCGCTAGAGCCATTCCTCTTTAAACTCGGTCGTGGGGCAAGATGGCGGCCGATTTTCCGTATTTTGACTGGGCACAGAAAATTGAAGATTTGAGCAAATAAAAAAAAAATTTTCACAGAAATACCCCAAAAAGTACGCTTATTTCGTTAAGCGAAAAACATTTTGGGTTTAGGCGCACTTTAATAATAATTAATTTTTTTCTTGTTTCTTTTTTTTCTAAAGGGAAACGGTTTTTCCACCTCTTGATAGATAGAGAAGCCTCGACTGTTCTCTGTTCTGTTGTAAACCACGCAAGGAAGCGGCTAGAGCACGAAAGAAGTGACGGCAGGAAGAAACACGAGACGTAGTAATTTCAGGCACGGTATTTTATTATGGGGAGGTAGACATTTGTCCCCAGTTGACTTGAGCTGACCCGTTTTAAAATTGAGTATACAGAGTTTGTATAAGAACTTTAGAAAAAGGCTTTCGTCCAGGCAACCTTGTTCATGATCTAGCAATTCCCTAAAAAGATCCTATATTTTTTTACTGTCGCGCCATCACAATTTTAGATTCTTTACAGGAAAACGGATCTATATTCATAAATCTCGTGTTGAGCGACCCTAAATTGATTGAAACTTAATATCTTTCGTCTTCTTAACATAACAGTTGAGGCCACAACCTAGTATAAAACCCAAATCAATGGTGAATGATAAGTTTGATGAGGGGATTGATAAATAAAACGAGTCGGTAATATAAACTAATTGCGATTTTGAGACGGCAATACCACATTATATTGACGGCTAGTTGGGAGAAAACATATTCCGTATTGGGCGGAGTCGCGAAGCGACGGAGCCCAATACAGAATATATTTTCTCCCAACTAGCCGTCAATATAATGTGGTATTGCCCTCTCAAAATCGTAATTAGTTTTGTATCGCGACCCATCATTTATAAGGATAAATAAAACTGTAAAATAATCAACCTGCGCCTGATCGAAATATCAATTCTTTTTACCTGCGAAAGGTATCGATGGTAACACTAATTTCGCGCGTAACACTAACTTTGTCGCGGATAATTTGAAATTCCCCGCAAGTTTATTGTCTTTGTTACCATAAAATGAGTTGATTGAAACCGAAAAGTGTTGAAAATTACACAGGAATGGAGTCCGAAGAGCCATTTGGTGATGAAATAATAAATTTTGATATTTGTGGGACTGTTTTTAAAGAGTTATTTAAGGGCATCGATGTACTCGACGTCGATGCGAAAACCGAAACAGCCACCTCGAGCGAAAATAGCGGGCGGAAAAATAATAACACTTCGAATTCTTGCCAGATTAACATTTATTTTCCAACTGGCAAGTGACTTTGTCACATTATTACAATGTTCATGACTGTAAAAGACGAATTTTCAATAAATACTGTTGAACTTGAAGTGAAATATTTGTGTAATCATTTGAATGCGGCGGTAATTTGTTTGTCTACTGTTAGCAACCCAATTTAGTGCAACGACGTCAATTTCAAAATTAGAACCAAACACAGGCTGCAAAAGTGAGACGGTAAAACCACGAAATATTGACGGCTCGCGCATAGCCAAAACTATAAGAAGATCGCGATACTAACAGCTAACGCAAGAAAACTGTTCAATAGAACAAATTGAGACCACATGTTCTATGACAAGTGTAGCAGCTTTTATGATGAGTGTAGTATGTTAAGTGGATATAAGAAGTCGATAGAGAAGACCTAAAAACTATTTTTTTTTCTGTCCGTCGGTGAGCGGCCAAGACCACGAGCACAGTTTTTTCTAATACGGACCTATCGTCAAATGTTTGAATAGCGTGAATAAGCTGGATGAAATAGCATTTTCAGTCATATGCCAAGAGACGTGCTTCATACAAAGCCAATTTCGCGGCCCCTCTAAAGGTCATAACGGTATTATTGTATAAGGTTTCTAAAATATTATTCGTACTGCGTGTGACCTTTTATCAAAGGCCTAACAAACTGAAAGTGTCGTCCAGATTCAAGATGGATGAGTTAACAAGCTGCCTGGCACTGATTCTTTCAGACAGAAGTGTAAGATCATTCGTCTTTGAATCAGACCCGACGTGTGTCAATTTTCTTCCTGACATGCACAATTGACTTAAGTTCAAGGTTCCAACCTAGAGAAATTGTTTACAGTAACGTAGCTTTAAATAAAACTTCCTATCACTGATGAGCTGTTGCGTTAACTGGTGGAACAAGAGCACTTAGATTCATTACAAAAAGGCCGATATTTAGCCGTAATTATACAGAAAAGACGGTCACTACATTATGTAACGCTAACTCTCAGATGTGTTGTTACAGTTTCCTTATCGGCCACTTTTACCTACCAATTATAGACTAGAATACTGTATTGACCTGTTGTTTTGACTGCTGATATATTAACTATATTGCAAGCTGATCTGGGAGTTATCGCATTGCAAAAAGTTACTCCCAACTTGCTACGGAATTTTGAACTTTGATCAGGCAGTACACTGCAGTATACGCGTAAAAAGATTAACTCCCCATTAACCTGCCAATAGCGCATTTCCGAATTACCCTTGGCCTCATTTTCAAACGAGTCTTGGTGCTCATCCTTTCATATGATAATAAGTTTTCATTCACATGCAAATTAAACTCATTTTCAAAACAATGGTTGAGCACCAGGCCTCGTTTTGAAAAAGAGGCCAAGGGTAATTCGGAAATGGGCTATTGCTTTAATCCTTTCAGTTCTATATTCTTTTCACCGGATTCCGCACACTGTTTTTTAAGTTCAAGTACTGGGAAGAAATTTGTATCTCATCAAGTTGTAGCCCGAGAGGATTATTCTATAC